TCTCTCCCCCTCTCTCTCTCTCTCTCTCTCTCTCTCTCTCTCTCTCTCTCTCTCTGTGTGTGTGTGTGTGTATGTGGTGAAACACCGAACCAATGTGCCAGAATCTGGACAATAAAGATACATCTTATCTTATCTTAATCAGGCGCTCCCCAATTCTTTGGCATGTGGAGTTATTGCCTTGGTATCACCTTAAGCTTGTTCGTTTGCCTTGCTTTCGATGAAAGAATTGTCCTTTAATGTTGAGTACATGTCTAGATATTTGCGATTGAATGTGGTGGGGTCGCCTGGTTTCAGAGGTAAAATTAGTGAGAAAATGGCCACCAAAGTTTGGTTATTCACAAAGCCTCAGAGTCCGTGGAAACTGACAATTTACTTTTTTTTTTATTATGCCTTTAATCAACGTTTTTCAATGTCATTCACACAAAAATGGGTTCTCAAATGGACATAGAAGGTGTTGAGCTAAAATACATTATTTCGAAAAAAATTGCCAAATCATCGGAAAAGTGTAAGTTTCTTTACTTTCATTTTTTGATGAGCCCCTGATTTCATAACACTGTCTCACAAATGTCTCCCTCTCTTCCTTGCGAGACTGGCTGCCAAATCCCGAAACTACCGGCAAACGATAGACAGATGGCTGTGATACCTCGTGCACACACTGTCAGTCGAATACAGTCGAACCAAATCAGGGTCAGCAACACGTCTCTACTGATAGAAGGACAAAAGCTACTATTTTGGCCCAAAACGACCGATTCAACTCGCGACTTTGAAAAAGTAATGCGTTAGATTTTGGATAACAATCAATTTCAGTCAAATTCGGTTGACTTGTGCCAAACAAAATGGTTGCCTTTGGCCTTTTATGGAAAAAAAATGTGGCTGGCCCCGATTCAATCAAATAGATTCAATTCGAAAGACAGTGGGCACTGGTATAAAAACTACTGTCGAGAGAAGTTCTGGGCGGCTAGGTTCCCGAATATTGGAAGCAAGGAACCGTATAAATTGACTCCGAACCCAATTACTTACTTTCTAATGATGTGATTTCTTCCTCTGGTTACCTGGTTGGCTCCGAACATCTTCAGGATGGTTATCTTTAAAAAGGAGTCTGAACATTTCTTCCGCAGCATTATTAATTGTGGGAATCGGCCAAAGGTCGTATATAAGAAGATGGTTGACTCCTCTCTTTGAGCCAATTACAAAAGTGTCCTCAAATTCCGGTTGCGCACTCTCCGAAAAAATGTAGACTTTGTGAACAGAGTTACACTACTTGTGTGAAAAGCAATACAAGCGAAACGAACAAACTGTGCTATTCCTATTCTTCTTTTGGAGAAACGAAAGAGAACTTCAAAACAAAGACAGCAGCGCCATCTGAAGCAATGTGCGGACTTCCATGGACACTTTTTTGGCCGAGTGAACTATCTTGTTATGTACGATCTTTTAATCGGTTCGGGAATCGATTGTTCGCCCAGCTCTAGTCGAGACGTCCTATTATCCCACACAACGCCCACTTTGACCCCGGACCCCGACACACTGGCTAACTGATTGTCCCAGGGATGTGACGTAACGATGACGTCATGGCTTCCAGAACGTTAGGCAACAACAATTTATTATTGTCAGGAAAAGCTCTCGAATCTGATCCTTGTCACAGGCAGTGGTGCTCTCAAAATGATGATGATGATGATGATGATGATGATGATGATGATGATGATGATGATGATGATGATGATGATGATGATGATGATGATGAA